CACCCTGATTGAATTGGCCTTGTCAACACTGGTTCTCCACTTGCGAAGTAACTCTCTTCTCTCCATGTGTCAGTATATAATTCCTGCATCTGTAACTTTCACTCTATGCATCTGAAGTAGTGAGGCTTTTACCCGCGAAAGCTTATGCCCAAATAAATCTGTTAGTCTTTAAGGTGCCACCAGACTCCTTGTTGTTTTTGTATGACATAATTGAGGACCCTGTCGTAATGCATATGTAGACTAGGACAAAACTAAGGTTGCTCTGAGGACCCTTAATTCTGCATTTTCTGATTTGTGTGCAATTAAAATACCTAAAGTTGCATTGACATGGGTTGTTGTTATATTTTGGGGGTGTACATTGCATTTAATAGAACTTTACTTGCCCTTCAAATATCTAACTGCATTGAATGAACTGAAGGTAATATTCTGTCCCTGGAGCCTGAGTGTGAGAGTAGCAGACAGTGATTTCTTAACGACGGATTGCTGCTTGTATTTTGCTTTTCCTTTTTTTTTTTTTTTTTTCATTCTAGACTTTAGAGTTAGTCAGTTCCCCAGGCAGCTAGTGACTGAAATGGTTCTGCTTAAAAAAGTAGCACTCTCTAGGGAAAGTCCCATTTGTTTTATAATTTCTCCATTTCACCTTTCTGTCTCCCTCAGGACTCAGATTTCATGAGTGTGACAGGCCTGCTGACGGGGAGTGTGAAGCGTTTCTCCACCATGACACGCTCGGGAAGGGATAATCGCAAACTGCTTTGTTACGTTTCTGCTGGACTGGTGGTTGTCTTTTTCATCCTCTATTATCTGGTCTCAAAAGCACGGACTTGAGTGGGGTCCTCATGCTGGAATTTTTATGGAAAGAAAAACTTTGGTCATGATAAACAGAGACTTGCTCAAGGTTATCCTCAATCTACCCTTTCAAGAATTGTTGGGATATTCCTGGAGGACCTCTCTGGACTCCAGGTTACTGTCACTTTTCTAATCAGTCTTGGAGAGATTCATCAATTATTTTCATAAAATGAATATAGTTCATTTTGATCTTTTTAAATGTATGTATACCACAACTTGATCTCCTAGTTGGCACTTAGCCTTCGTTTATTGCTTTATTGTCCATGACCTTTAGCCTTCATCTATTACCTGGCTCATAACCATGTCGTGTCCACCTTAATGACGTGCTGTGTTGTTAATGTGAAAGTATCTGACTCAACCCATAGTAGCAATGTGCCTGTGTCCATTCATAAATGAGCAGAGCTGGGGAGGCTGCATGGTTTAGTCTGAATATGGGACTGGGAGGCAAGAGCTGTTGAGTTCTAATCCAGCTCTGTCATTGCCTTGCTCTGTGGACTTGGGAAGTCAGTTAATCTCATTTTATGTTTTGAAATACATTAATACCAACAGCATCTCACTAGGCTAGAATTGTTGTACAACACTCTGAAGAACTGAATTGTGTGTGGTAGGTACTGAGTTGAGTAGTTACTACTTGTTACAAAAATCCATCAGCCATTCATGGTATCAGAGCAGGATTTTACCACCATGATAGCTTGGTTCTACCTGCTTGCTTGTCTTATAGCTGAGGATGGGGAAAGGCAGTAAAGAGATGGCTGGTGGCAGTAGCACAAATAATATGGCTCTTGTAACACATACACACGTGCTCAGTTGCAACTGTAGAAGACATGAGAGAGTTGAAAAACTGAAGAGGAGGAAAAATATTACTTTACAAAAGGCTTGGAAACTATTGTTTAAATAATCTAGAAGGGGAAGTTGTTTGTACAGTTGGTACTAGCATTCCCATAATACATTTCCACTCCATAGGTAAAGATGGAGTTAGATCTGTCATCTTAAGTGGTCTGATCAGAGGGATGATTTAAAATAGGAGGTAACCTTAGAATTCCCAATTCTTTGTCCCCTCCACAGTACATCACCTGGTAGGTACGCTGCATGTCACTGGGTGACTGTCTGGAATACATACCTGAGCAAGTATTGTCTATTGTTTGTGAAGCCATCACTCCAGAGCTTGCAGCACTTTGAGATACAGTATGTACCCTGTTCTGTGATGATTCTACATAATTCTGTGCATTAGAATGCTGTGTGGATGAAGGATGTTTATGATCTTTCAGCACTACATCTTTATTCTGTACTGTATGCTGGTTAAGAATGCTCATTCCAAATCACCCTTCTCTCCCTTTCATTGACCTTGTCGCTTCCCCTCTCATTCCAACCCATGTATGTTCTCCCATCTGAATTATTTATATCTGCCTCCAGTTATAATAAACCATTCTAAAAATACTGCTATTGTTTTAAAAAAAATACCCAAAACTCTACACGTTATTTTAAAAGGCTCTTATGGTACAAAATAACTCTACCATAATTGTTTTGTAGTGTATATTATTTGTTCCAAGGGCTTCTCTGGATTCTCCTGTAAGAATGCCTTGCTTGATGATTGGGTATCTCTTATTCCTCTTGATGTAGCCACCTCTCTAGGACCAAAGAACATATCCTCTATACAGTTATTCTCCCCAAACAAACTCATATTCCCTAATCCCTGTATATATTGTCTGACCCTGACAAATGACACTGTGTGACAGTGAAGAATTCCTCTCTTACAAGTCACCGAACATTGATCCTTCTGCAGATTTAGATCCAGTTTTCTTAATCTGCTTCTTACCTTGAATATTGATTTTCTAATATACTGTAACTTGTGTCCTTATCCTGTTCCAAAGGTAGAATGTGCAATAGGGATGGAGAGAGAAGGATGCAGTGATGATCCACTGTGGCTCTTGGCTCAGTTGACTCAGTCCTGTTTGATTCTTGTCTTTGGTAAGACTTGGCTGTTCTAAGCTCATTTTACATGCTTAAAAATTTGGGTGGCTCACTTGACTATTCCGTCTGCTTCCCTCAAGCAAATCTTTCCTAACCAAAAAACTCCAAAGCACTAATTCTTGCCAGAGCAATGATCTCTTTATTTTGCTTTTAATGGTGTGAATAAACTTGTACTGTCTTAAGATGCTGCACCAATAATGTTATATGTATGTTCTTATCATGGTCCAAAGCTGTATTATACTAGCCAGTTTCCAAACATGTACCATGATTAACTTTTTATAGAACCTGTTGCCTTGGAACCTGCATTGATGCACAACATTAAATACATCAGTAATACAATACTCGCTACAATGGGCAGTGGAGATTACATCCAAGCTCTAAGATGCATTAGACCAGAAGGTGTGACAAGATAGCACCCTATGGGATCTGCATGTATCCATAAAGAAGAAGAGAAATTGTCCCCCACTGACTTCTGTGATGAAGAGGAAAAATGACCACTCAAGTACAAATCACCCATCTAGCTCAGAGTCAATAATAGAGCTGGTCAGGAACTTTTAAACAATTTTTGTTGTTGGAAAATGCTCATTTGTCAAAACCAAAACTTCCCCTGGGTTTAAACGGATTGTTGGACACTTTTGTCCCAATTTTTTTCGTTTTTGGAATGAAGTACTTTGATTTTTTTATTCAAAATGACTTCTTGTTTTGAAATTTTAGTTTAAAAATATTTTTAAAATAAAGGTCAGCATTGTCCTCTGGAGTCCAACAGTTCGCTTCCCCATCACCACCTTCACACTAACCTTGCCTTGAAAGGCTAAGTAAAACTTTGAGAGAACAAAATAAATGGGGGAAGGGACTGTTGGGGTTCCCAGCTTGGTTAAGTGGGGCAGACAATTTGTCCTTCCCAATAATTGTGTTAACCTTCTTTGAGTGCCACAGCTGAGCCCAGGCACTGCTCGTAGCAAGGGATGGTGCAGAGTTGCACCATTTCTGCGTGGAGCTTGGGGAGGAAGCCTCACAGAAACTGGATTTTCCCCTATAATTCAGGAGGAGAATATCTACTTCTATACCACTTCAACAGGAGCAACTTCCCACCCCTGCTGTGTCAGGCCTGCTCCAAGTGGTGATGTGTAGCTGCAGGGTGTCCATAGCTCTACCTCCTCCTCTTAAGGGCAGTATGCTTCTCTGGAATAGTTCCTGTGCTTCCTAAGTGCAGCCTGCAGTTATGGTTGGCCTGCATGTGGACCTTGCAAGGCGCTGCATGTTCACAGCCATCCGGCATACAGCAGCTGAGAGAGCAAGAACAGCGCTTCTCCTAGGTTAAGGGGATGTTGTTTGGCAATCTAGGCTTACTTTGTTTTAAAAAATTCTAATGAAACTTTGTTCTTAAATTTAATGAAAAGTTTTTTTTAATTTAGGATTTTAACATTTTCTAGCAATTCTAAAATGGCAATATTTTGCTAAGGCTTGAGAACCAGAAGTGGTTCTAATCATCTGCTCCCCATCCCCATTATCCAAGATTAGTGAAGAGGAAAATGTAAACTAGGAATGAGTGGTGAAAAGCCCATTTAAATTTTTAAAGTTTTGTTTTAATAAGCTAAAGATGTAACACATATAAAAACTTGTTTTAACCACACAGTATCCCTTTAAACTTTAGTCTGTAACTCCATCTAAAGGTAGATTCAAAGTATTCAGCTACTTTGACATGATAAATACTGACTCCCTGATTTATTGTCTTTACATGGTGATACTGCAATAGAACACAATAAAAGGGATAAATGACGCATACAGTGAGGGTCATCACAAGAGTAAACAAACAACAAAATAGCTCAGTAGTACAAAATTGAGTGACTCTTTATGTATACAGTTTTGAATTCCCAGTTTCTGGAACACAGGATCCAGATGCTGCAATGCACTAGTGCCAGGGTTCAGACTCTCAGCAGGTAGATACAGCAAGATCCACACGCCAGGGCAATACTGCTAGCTTCAGCATGTCCTCTTCATTAAGGGGGGATATGGAAAATTTCTTCATAGCCAGAGGCAAGTTAAAATATTGCAAGTGATCATTTTCTGAATATTCGTCCTCCTTTAGTGCTAGAACTTGTAGAAACTTATTACTTGTTTGAAGATAGATGATTGTTAATTATAAGATAACTTGTATAAAAACTGGCAGCTTTAAAATATAAAGCAACATGATATAGAAAAATAAATGTAGTTTCTGTAAGGCGGCTTGCGTGAAGGTCAATAGACATCCACTATCAAAGGCATTGTATACTCAGTGTGTCGGATTCCAAAGGTAACAACTGGGGCACAAGGCTTGGTCAGTGTTATCTGGAGATGGAAAAGTAAATACAACACATCAGGATATTCACCATTAACTAGCATCAGTTTGTTAGTTTCTACTTTCTATGCTACATGACCTCCCCAATCAAGTACAATATCTGGACAGTCCAGGTCACCTATTGTCTCACACAAACGCCCCTTTTACTAGATTCCTATCAGTGAAAAGAAAGTTTGTAACTGAAGGGGCAGGTTGGTGCACAGACTGTCTAGATCATACAGCCAGATTAGAATGGTTGAAGAGCAATCAGCTTCTCTGAACTCTGGGTTAGATGTTACAAAATTTCCTAATAAGAGGAGGGGTGTCTGGTGGTGTTTGACCTTTGATGTTGGCAGTCTGAAAGTGCAGCTTCTTCCCTTAGGGTACGTCTACACTACGAGATTAATTCGAATTTAGATAATTCGAATTTGGGAAACAGATTGTATAAATTCGATTGTGCGCGGCCACACTAAGCACATTAATTCGGTTTTTAACCACATTAATTCGGTGGTGTGCGGCCACACTACCCCATTAATTTTAACCACATTAATTCGGTGGTGTGCGGCCACACTACCCCTAATTCGAATTAATAAAATCGATTTTGGTGCTACTCCGCTCGTCGGGGTGGAGTACAGAAATCGATTTTAAGTGCCCTTTAATTCGAAGTAACTGGCTCCGTTGTGTGGACGGGTTAAGGATTAATTCGGATTAACGCAGCTAAATCCGAATTAAAGTCGTAGTGTAGACCAGGCCTTAGATAAGTAGCCTTGTTGCTTCTGGATGCACCACACCCTGCATCAGTTTCTTTATGAAATAGATTTCTCATAAATGATAATAGTTTGTGAGGTTTACTTACCCAGATACTCCTATAGATCCCACCTTGTCCACTTTATGCCTCTCTCCTTTTATTGTTGCTAGAATGCATTTAACTGTACCCATTAAGTTGGTATTTTTATTCCAACACCCTCTAATCAGTTGTTTCTATAATAATTTTTGACATTACCGCCATTTGGGTTAAGAGTTCCTGTGCTTTTTTCTTAGACCAGAGATGAGTATTTTAGGAATATTGGTGTAAAATCTATTCAATATCTCTTATTTCAATGGTCCCTTTTAAAACAGTTTTGTTTTTTTTTTAATTCCCCCTTTCCTCCCCCCCCTCCCATTAGTATTAGGGATGAGCTGTGAAGTTGTAGGCTGCATTGGTACTTGCCCAAATTTCAAAATACTTCCAATCCTATATTCCAGCTTGAGCAGGCTTCTAACTGAAATATTTTTAATTATTCTTAATTATGTCCCCTTGTACATATAACTTGCATTATTGAAAGAAAGGGATGTGTGTGTGTGTGTGTGTGTGTGTGTGTGTGTGTGTGTGTGTGTGT